CAGTCCAGCCTCCCGGATGATCTGTTCTGCATATGGATTGAAAAGGTATGGAGAAAGAATACATCCCTGGTATACACCCTTCCCAATTTGAAACCATGCAGTGTCTCCTTGCTCTGTTCTGATGACTGCCTCCTGGTCCAAGTTTAGGTTTTGCATAAGCACAATCAAATGTTCTGGGATTCCCATAGCAAACTTTAACTCTGATAAGTGTTTCCAGAGAGACACCTATAAGACCTTCTAGAGAGTAGCCCTCTTGAAAGGACATGCGGCACGATGACCAAGAACCTCACGTGGAGATAGCCATCTTTAAAGTCATAAGTGCATGTTTCGGAAATTTGCTGAATCATCAAGTCGTGGCCGTCTCAATCACCGAACAGTCTTCACAGTTCTCAGAAAGTGCTTCCCATGGCAGACAGGTGCATAATAATCTTAATCCCGCCCATGAGGCCAATCGCCTGGGATCCCCTCCACCTTTCATGAATAAAAACACAGATCTTTTCTTTTGATAGATGATGAAAAAAAAGAACAAAATAAACCCTGCCCTCTGTATGAGTCAGCATGATACCTTTTCCTTAACTCCAGAGCCTTTAAAAGGATCACTTGTTCCTGACTTAAGGAGTTACCGGCTAAGTCTTCCTTCCATCTCCACATCTCCTTTTGCAAAGTATTTTCCCTAATAAAGCTCTTCCCCGCCCCCCCGAATATAAAAGTAAGAACTCCTGTCTTGCTTTTCATATTTAACTAGAGGAAAAACTCACATTTAAGGAGTGCACTCGAGAAACTTCCATGTAGTTGCTGTTGGGTAAAGTTGAGTCGAGTCTGTCTTGTAGCAACTGTATGAACAACAATTTTGAATTTTGCCCTATCCTGGGTCATCTTTACAATGTCTGACACACTTAAGCCTGTTATTGCTGAAGTAATTTTATCATTTTATCTCTTTGAGAATATTTCTTTCTTTTTCTTACCTTCTATCTTTCCAAGCATAACATCCCTCTCCAAGCAACATGCCCAGGTTGTAAGACAAAGCTTTGTCATCTTTGCCTCCAAGAAGCATTCTGTCTGCACTTTCTCCAAGACGTATCTGTTTGTTCTTGTGGCAGTCCACGGGGTATGTGGCACTCTTTTCCAACACCACAACTCAAAGGCATCAGTAATTTTTCTGTCATCCTTATTTATCTCAGATGCATAGCTAGTGATCGAAAGACCATGGCCTGAATCAAGTGTACCGTAGTCTTCAAAGTGACATCATTGCTCCTCAATAATTTGGAGAGGTCCCTGAATGCAGATTTTCCCAGGGCAATTCCTCTACTGATCTCCTAACTACTGGTACCAAGGATATTGATTGTGTATCCAAGTAAGATGAAGTCTTTAATAGTCTTTAATAATAATTTAATAAATGTTGTTGTATTGTTGTTGTTAAGTGCCTTTAAATTGTAGATGACTCATAGTGACCCCATGAATGAAGGACCTGAACACTTGTATAACTTTCATTGTTTCTCCAAGTTCATAGGGTCACTGTATCGGAAGTGGAGATCATTCCTGCTTTCCTGTTTTACTCAGGGAGTTCTACAAAACACTGTCCACCATGGGTAACCATTATCACATTTGACACATCAGTGTCACAGTGTTCAGCAACCACAAGTTACCTCTGTACAGCATATGGACAGACTAGGGCTGTACGACTTAGAAGAATGTTTGACCAAAAACAATTAAAACCAGGCCTGAGGGCCTGTGGCCCAAAAGCCCAGGTAAATTTAAGAACCAAGGCAAGGTTCAAATTTCATGAGCTCCATCATTCCACCTTCCTCCATAATCAAGCACTCGCATTGATTCTCACCACCCCAAAACACCCGTTTCCCCAATCTCCTCCTATTCTGATGTCACATGTTTCTTCATAATCTAATTTCTTGAATGATTTTTCATCATGTAGACTGAATACACATGAGGAAAGGATATAGTCTTAATGCACATCTTCCATGATTTTTATCCATTGTGTATTCCCTTGTTCTGTTTGGATAACACTTTCTTGATTTAGGTATAGGTTTCATGTTGTTGTTGTTGTTGTTGATTGCCCTTGAGTCACACACAACTTATAGCAACTCCATAAGCTAAAGACCTGAGGCCTTTCTATAACTATCATTTCTCCAAGTTCATAGAGTTTCCAAAGGCATGTGGTTTAGGAAGTGGATGCCATTCCTGCTTCCCAACCTGTCTTAAAATGGGGAGCTCCTCAAAACAACTATGAGATATCATCTCACCCCAGTCAGAATAGCAAAATTTAATAGAACAGCAAGCAACAAATGCTGGTGAGGTATGGAGAAACGGGAACCCTTATTCACTGTTGGTGGGAGTGTAAAAAGGTGCAACCACTGTGGAAAGTGGTATGATGCTTTCTCAAAAAGCTGCAAATAGAGATACCATTTGATCCAGCAATTCCACTACTGGGAATATACCCTAAAGAGACCATAACTGCCATCCAAGTAGATACATGCACACCCATGTTTATTGCAGCTTTGTTCACAATAGCAAGGAGTTGGAAATAACCCAAGTGCCCATTAACAAATGAATGGATGAAGAAGCTGTGGTATATTCACACAATGGGATACTATGCTGCATTGAAAAACAAGGAACTCGTGCAATATTATTCAAAATGGGTGACCCTGGAGGACATTATGCTGAGTGAAATATCTCAGTCACAAAAGGACAAGTACTGCATGGTGCCACTCCTGTAGAATGGGACTGACATCAGGGTTGGGGTAAGACTGAGAAAAACTGGATAAACCATGTATACTGCATTGAAACAGATGAGGGAGAGAATAATTTAAAAGCAATATATGACAGGGTATTATGGTTATCACAAGAGTTCAGAGTTAAGGTTGCATAGTGGAGTGTACTATGGGTGGTGGGAGGGGTGCGGGGGGATTGTATACCAAAGAAAGACTTTTTCTTTTACTTTTCAAAAAGAGGAGTGAACTCGGGGCAGGGGTGGGGGTAGGAGAGTTGGGCAGGGAGAAAAGTGCAACAATGAATGAATGGAAATCCAAAATCTCTGTAAATGCTCATTAAACTTAATACAATAAAATTTAAAACAAAATTGGGAGCTCCACCAAACACTGTCTATCCTGGGCAGCCATTATGGCATTTGAGACCCCAATGGTAAAAAGTTCAGCATCACAGCAAACCCAGATTACCTCAGAACAGCAAATTGACTGAAGAGTGTTGTACGACTTAGAAGAATGTTCATCCAAGTTATAATAGCAAAGGATTAAAAGACAATCCCTTGGACCCAACTTATTAAATATAAGGGCCCTTCAGAAGGTTTTGTTGACTCTAAACAAGAAGCTTTAATAATAAAATATTAAAAACAAAACAAAACAAAAAAACCCAAACCAAAAAACATTCCACAATGACACTTAACCAAAACAAGCCCATCTTACAGATTCCAATTATGTCAAAAATGGAGACAAGGGAAAAAAAAAAATTGGAGACAAGGGCTTGACCTTAAATGCAAGTGTCCTCCTGGAGGTCTTATTGACTCCTTTAATGATTCTTGCTCTATCCCTTGTGATGTTGCCTAATGGTCCACTGGGGAGAATTGTTTTGTTTTGTTGATGTTGAGATATAATCCATATTGAAGTCTATAGACACTGACCTTCTGCAGTAAGCATTTTCAAATCTTTCCTGACTTATAGTTAACCCTCCAGTGGGCTTTCAGAGAGAGGTGTTTATGTGATAGCAGGAGAACAGATTTCCTGTCTTTCTCTTGCACAAGTAGTTAGTGGACTTGATGAGCTGGTATTAATAAATTCAGAATTTTCTTAATATAAATCAATTATAAACTGATATCAGTTTTCTCTAGCCTGCAAAACTAGTTACTCTGTCTTAGAAGTCCTTTTTTTCTTTTTCATTAGTCATGTGAAGTGCTTTAAACTGCCTACCAGGAGAGGAAATGCATCTTTCTAACATTAGCATTTACCTCCTTCAAACTGTTTTTCTCAGTCATATGTAAATTGTATCTTTTCCCCCCCTTTTTTTCTTCTGTTGACAGTAAGTTCCTTTATTGACATGACACAACTGACCTTAAGCTTGCTCCCTTAGACTCGAGGTCAAGATATATAGCACATTGAAAAATGCAAGGTCATTACATCCAGTCACAGAATGCAGAAGGTTACACGATCACATTGTTGCTCAACTGACCCAAACAAGGAACATTTGTTTATTGTTTTTAGATGCCCTTGAGTCCAGTGGGACTCCTAGCGATATTATGAATGAGCCCACGTGAACCCTGAACAACTCCGTGCGATCATCATTTTTGGCATGCCAGAAACCATTCTCAAAGTCACTATATCAGCTCAACTGCTGTGGGGTGAGGAGTGGAGTCTCCTCTCCTTCGCTGAAGCCTCATTTCTCCATGCACGAAGTTCATTTACAAGGAATAGACTCAGTTAGGTACGTGTTCAAAGTTTGAAAGACCCACCTTCTCCGTCTTTGTTGAGGAATGATCAGGCTGCAGTTCCCAGTCCATGGGGTCTAAGTAAATAAATTTGTCCATGTCCAAAGTTCGAGGAAGACGCAGCCTGGAGTCCTTCCAGGGGTGTAGGGTGGAAAACAGAAATGCTGCTACCATCCATGCCCCCAACAAATGAGCACTCCTTAAAGAGGGAGTGTCACCGGGAGAGGGAGGGAGCCTCCTGGGGGCGCGGGTTAAGGCCAGGCCACGGTGAGTCCCCAGGACAAATGAACACACTCTAAGAGTCATCCCGTACTCTGCAGAAGTAGTTCCTAGTCCAGAAGTGAGTTTTTTAGTGGATTCTTTTGTGATGCACAGCACAGTCCTTCTGTTTAAAAAAAAGAAAAAAAAAATCATGCAGTGAAATATACTGTTTTCACTTTCTGTCTTCCTCCTCCTCGTAATGGTCACTGCATCTTATTAGTAAGGGGAATACTCTGATGTCCCCTTCTTTGAGACCCGGTAGTCCCTGTCTCCATGGAACTGGCCTCTAGACTCTGCTTCTGGAGGCATGGCCCATATCGACTTGACCATGGGCCTTGCTCTTGAAATCACTGTTGTAGAATTTGGAGCAGGATCCCTGGGATTTGGTGCAATGGGCACGGGGGTGTGCTCTGTGGAAACCCCTGTCTGCTGTGCTGAGGCCTGGTCTGTTGGTTCGTTTCGGCATCACTTTGATTTTTCTTCCTCTAAAATGAGAAGTATCTAAGGCCACGGCATTTCTCATCGGATCCTGGAGGGAGAACTCTACAAAGGCAAAGCCTTTGGGACGGCCACTGAATTTGTTGCAGGCTGTGGTCACTCGGTTGACCAGGCCACAGTTGAGAAAGTGTGCTCTCAGTTCTCGTGCGGTGGCTCCATAGTCCACATTGCCAATGTGGATCCTGCGGACATCCTCTTGTGTCTGCTCAATGGACCAGACCTCAGGGTTGGCCTGGCCTAAGAGAGGGCTCCTGTGCTTCATCTGGACTTCTGTTTGGATGCCCTTTAATGGTGGGTCTTCAACGGTGCCTTCCTTCAGCTCACTGCCCAGTGACACCAGCATCCTATTCTCCTTCCAGAATCAGAGAGAGCGCAAGGAGATCCTAAGGATACATGGGGCCTGGATGACTCTTCTGGCAGCTCAATTTCCACGTCAACCTCCATCTGCAGATCCTCAGAGTCCTGTTCCTGGTATTCCAGGATGTCCTGGTATTCCAGGATGTCCATGCACTCCTCCGAGGCCTCGTCACTCAGGCTGTGCTGTTGCCTGGGGCCTGCCATCCCTCCCGCGCTGCCTCTACTCTCACTGTGGCTAGGACCCCCACCGACCCGCACTGATGCCTTTCTCTGACCCTCAGGCCAAGCTCCTGGTCATTAACAGCAGTGAGGTCTTCTTTGCCTTGTGCGATTGGCTCTGGTCTCCAACTGAGTTCTTTCGTTGTGGTGTGTAAATTGTATCTTAAACTGCCTCTTTACTAAGAAGAGAAATGTGCCTTTCCTGGGTTAGTATTTACCTTTACAAAACTATTTTTCTCAGTTGTATGTTAACTATCTTATAAATTGTCTATTGGTAACTGTATATAAATTGTTCTATTCAAATGTAGAAATTCTGTAACTTTAACTAACAAGCCTAACCCAGTATACAAACCTAATGATCATTCCTAGAGTGGGAGGCAGTTTTTGAGGGGTGTGCCGGCCTGCGGAGTCTTCAACGAAGACCTAAGGAGAGACAGTGGTGATGAGAAGGGACAAGAGACGTGAAGAATGGAGACAAGACAGGAGTCTGATCAAGTCTCATTTACTGAAACTTTTCACAAGGCTTATATAGGAACCTATAAGGGCCCCTGTGTAAGCAGGGTTGCTATGGATACCTGACCACTGGCAGCCTATCATGAAGAAACACAGCTGTGGCCATTATGGGTGGAGTGACCCTGGGCTGACCTTAACTGCGTATGTGTCAGGCAGGCTTTCATGAAATGGCGTCTCATAGGCAACATGGAGCAACTTAGGCCTCAGATCAGAGCCCTCAAGTATGGCTCCCTGCAGAGGGGAATCTCACTGTCCTCCCAGACCTGAAATAAAGTGCTATGGATAATGCAATCCATCTTGGCAATTGACTAGGGAAAGAACCCCTTGTGTTCAGTAATAGACTTGAACCATGTGCCTTTCTTTTGACAATACAACTCCCTTTCCACTAAGTCACCAGAGCTCCCTATTCATCTGTCTAGGATCTTATATTAGTAGATTTTCCTTGTTTAGAATAATCCTTCCATGATATTGAAAGCTGTCATAATTATTTACTAAATCTCTGCATTTAATTTGCTAATAGTTTACTAAGAATTTTTATACATCAGTAAAGAGGATGTTTTCTGTTTTGCATATCAAGTCTTTATTAGCATAAATATGTTTCGTAATTATTCTATACTTTCATCTAAAAATGGAAAAGTGCCTGCATAAAGTTAATTTTAGAATACTCTATATTTCCCAATTCATAATATTTAGTTGCTTCTCTTTTTCCTTAGTCTTTTCATCAATTTGTCATGTTACTGTCTTACCTCAAAGCTAAACTAGTGAAGAAAAGAAAGATTTTATTCCCCCTCCTATCTGTAGAAGAAAGAAAAGGGACGTGGGCTCTGGGATAACCTGCTTCCAGAGCAGTGTCTGCTTCAGGTCAAAAATTCTTTAATTCAACAGTGAATATGAATGTAACAGTCAGAAAAGGCCTCGCCTTTTCATAAATTCAAGAGCTACTGTTGAATCATTGTGGCTGCTTTACCTAATAATTATTGAAAATGCCTTTTTTGGTTTAAGGTTTGAGTAATTTAACTATTTAAGAAGCTTTCATTGTCACCCTCCTCCAAAAAAAAAAAAAAAGTGAGGAAGCCAGTGGAATAAAATAACCTTTTAATGCCTCTTTTCATTATAGAAAATTCCTGCCTAAGCAAATACCTTAGTCTTCTGTGTGAGTATTAATTAATCTACTCTTCCCAGGACAAGGCAGCTGGGCATCTGGGGGTTTTATCCCCCCTGGGGAATTCTGGCAGTGCCAAAGCCACATGGGTGATTGTGTTGCTGGAGAGAAAGCACAGAGGATTCAATGTGACATCTGGATTTCTATGAAGGTTCAAAACAGCAGTCTCCAAACACTCCCAGACTCCAGTTCTAAAACATTCATCTTTCAAAGGTCAAGCATAAGAAAGATTTCTGTTATGCGACTGTGTTCATTGACTTCTACTGATTGTTATTGTCTTCCTTTGGCAATTTTGGTTGATATTTTTTAGTGTTACAAGTTTAATGGTCACTCATCTTCCCCCAATGTATTTGTTCAAGAGGGATGTTTACAGGTGGCCTAGAAGAAAGGGAGGTGTGTTGCCAGCTGACGAGCTGGTGGTTTGAATCCATCAGCGATGGGAAGAGAAAGGCGGGCAACCTCCTCCTCTGGGAGTTATGCCCTCTGACATCCACTGCGGGGTCAGCTATGAGTCAGTTCTAACCCAAAGGCAATGAACGTGAATAAGATATTTATTTAGAGTATAAGTTTTTTAAATTAATAATTTAGATGCAACCTATGAGTTTTAGATTTTCGATACAACCCTGCTTGCTGAAACTGAGGAGGACCTGAAGCGCTTGCTGCAGAAGGTCAAGGACTTCAGCCTACAATATGGATTGAGGCTCAATGTCAAGAAGACAAAGATTCTCACCACTGGACCAATTGGCAGCATCAGGATGGATGGTGAAGAGATTGAGATTGTACACAGCTTTAGTTTGCTTGGCTCCACAGTCAACACTCTTGGCACCAGCAGCCAGGAAATTAAAAGACGCATTGCCATGAAAAAGTCTGCTGTTAGGGACCTCTCCAAAATACTGAAGAGTAATGGTTTCTCTCTGGAGACTAAGGTCCATGTGATACAGGCCGTGGTCTTGTCAATCACTTGTTATGCATCAGAGAGTTGGACAATGACCAAGGAGGATAAAAGGAGAATTGATGCCTTTGAACTGTGGTGCTGGAGAAAGAGTATTGAGAATACCATGGACTGCTAGGAAAACAAACAGTTTCATCCCGGAGAGGGTTAAACCAGGGAGGGTGGAGGGACAGCGTAGGAGGGGAAGACCCTCTATGTGGTGGATTGATTCAGTGACTGGGGTAATCGGGATGGGTGTGTCAGAGGCAGTGTGATTGGCACAGGATAGAGCAGAGTTCAGGGCTGTTGTACATAGGGTTGCTATGAGTCGCAAGTGACTCGACGGCACATAACAACAACAACAACAACAACAATTTATATTTAATAATTTCTGATTTAGTTACTTTGTAACCCAGAATTTATTTATACTTTTTAAAGGAAAACATCATCAACATGACCTTTCTGTGTGTGTGTGGTTTTTTTTTCATATGTTTGTGTTTTATATCGCATGATGTCATTTCGTTGCACTTTTTTAGTATTACTTTTTATTCTGGTAATGGGGTGGTATTAATAAGTTCAGAACTACCCAAACATCAATATATTAATAGAAGTGACATCAGTTAGTTTTCTTCAGCCTGCAAAACTAGTTATTTTGCCTTATAATTCTTTTTTTCCTTTTTTTTTTTTTTTTTAGTCAAGTAAACTACTTTAAACTGCCTATTTACCAGGAGAGGAAATGCATCTTTCCTAGATTAGCATTCACTCTTTGAAACTGTTTTTCTCAATCATATGTAAATTGTGCCTTAACCTGCCTGTTTACCGGAAGGAAAAGGTATCTTTCCTAGATTAGCGTTTACTTTTTAAAAAAACTGTGTTCTTCAGTCATATGTTAACTATTTCTTAAATTGTCTGTTTAGTAGAAAACTGTTCTTTTTTATTTATTTATTTTTCATTTCAATGAACATCTACAAAGATTTTGGAATTCCGTTCATTCATTGTTGCACCCTTCTCCTCTTCCCCCCACCCCCCAGTTTGCTCCTGTCCTTGAAAAGCGAAAGAAAAACTCCTTCATTGTTACACAATCTACCCCCCTACATCCCCCAACCTCACCCCCACCCCAAATATAATCCACTCTGCAACCCCCATTCCGTACTCTTATGATAAACATAATGCCCTAAAATATAATACTTTTAAACTATTCTCTCCCTCATAGACTTCAATGCAGTAAACATGAAAGCTGTTCTTTTAAAATGTGGAAATTCTGTAACTTTACTAACGAAAGTATATCGTCAAGTAAATTAGTTTCTAACTCAAGTATAAAAATGAATGATCACTCCCAGAGGTGGAGGCAATTTTTGAGGTGAATCTCACTGTCCTCACCGTTCTACAATAAAGTGCTTTGGATACTGCAACGTATCTGTCTTATTGGCAATTGACTTCGGAAAGAACTCCTTGCATTCAGTAACACAAGTTCTTCATTATATTTTATAAAATATCTAACTCTTTGAAAGGATGCCTATTCTTTATTTCTTGTCTTACCCTGGATGTAAAATTCAATAAATCTCTTGCCTTTAATATTTATTCTTAAATAATAAATAATGCAAGACTTACAACACATAACAAAACATAGTCTCAAGTATAATGCAAAAGTGTATTCAATACTTCAGTCTTCATTTTGGAGTAAATCTCCATTATTTAAGTGTCCTCCGGGCATTGTCCCTTCTGCTAAAATGGCCAGAACACTTGAGACAAAAATCTCACCGTCTTCATTTTTAAGGAGCATTCTGGATCTATTTTTTAGGTTTATTTGTCCTTCTGAACATATGAAACATGTTCAGTATTCCTCTCCAGCACCATAATTCAAATGCATCAGTTCTTTGACCTTCCTCTCATTCATTTCCCCTTCCCCCTTCCATATGCATATGAAGCAATTGGAACACGGTGGCCTGGGTCAGGTGTAACCTAGTCTTCAGAGTCCCATGTTTATTTTCCAGACATCTTTTGCAGCAGGATTGTCTGGTGTCATACTTTGATGATACTTGACAACTGTTTTCACGAGTGTTGGTCTAGGATGTAAGAAAAAGGAGATCTTTGACAAGCTTCAGTCTCATCTCTGTTAGTTTTAAGATGGTTACTGTTCTAGTTGGGAGGGTTTTTATTTTCTTTATGATGAAGTAAAGCTGTAGTGATCTGATCTTCATAAAATCTGGGCTTCTACAAACACTGGCAGGGAGACCCCATTCTACTGCCATAGCAGTTAGTGTGTGTGAAACCTCTAAAGTGCCCTGGCTAGCAGTCAGGCCCGTGGGTGAGAAAACTCCGAGAGTGCTGTGAAGCCAAATCTCTGTTGGCTAAAGGGAATGAAGGTGACCCCTTTTC